ATGCAAGTTATGGTTTTTGTAACTCGAGTACTGATTTAACAACTGTGATTATCTTCCACTACAATCCATATAATGTACACTTTCTTCACAACCAATTTCCCTATAATAAGCACTGCATAATTTATTTGCTACTACCTAGCTCCAAAAAGCTTTACAATGGTTTCAGTATCAACCTTTTTGAACATATTGGCCTTTTCTCAATTTGGTGATGTGTAATGAGGCAGATTTGATTGGAGAGCTGAAGGTTTTTATTCCCTCATGGATGTTGCTGGCTAGGCCAGCAATTCTTCCCCATCCATGGTTGCCAATGAGAAGCTGGTGGTGAACTGTCTTCTTGAAGCATTGCAGACCCTATGTCCATCACCATTCATGACTGGATGTGGCAGGACTGCAGAGCTTAGATCTGATCCGTTGGTTGTGGGATTGCTTAGCTCTGTGTATCACTTGCTGCTTGGTAGGTAAGTAGTCCAGTTTGGTAGCTTCAACACGTTGACACCTCATTTTTAGGGATGCCTGGTGCTGCTTCTGTTACGCCCTCCTGCTTCCTGCACTCTCCATTAAATCAGGCTTGATCCCCTGGCTTGAAAGTAATGGTTGAGTGGGGGATATACTGGGCCATGAGGTTGCAGATTGTACAGAAGTACAATTCTGTTGCTGATGGCTCACAGTGCGTCAAGGATGTCCAGTCTTGAGTTGCTAAATCTGTTTGAAGTCTTTCCTTCTAGCACAGAGATAGTGCCACACAATACAATGGAGGAACCCCTAGGGGATAGTGACCATAATATGACACATTTCACCCTGAAACTACATAGTTCTGAAAAAAATTTACTTTTTAAATATATATTGAAGTTAAGCTTTCTACCAGCATATTTGCATAGCATATAGAAAAAGGCAATTTACACAAAATAGAATAAATCTTCCCTGTCCAAGGTGAATTACCCCTAAGTGTAATATATGATGTGCAGAATGTCAGTATGTTTACCAGTGCTTCTGAAATGTTGAAAGTAACTGGGTTTGCAAGACTAATGCAAAAGTGATAAAAATATTTGGTCAGATGTATTCACAATTTAATGAATGCACAATGACAAATATTACAGAATAAGTGTTTTGAAATACACTTTTAGAAGATATGTCATATCAATATGCAAGTGATTATGAGAATTTTGGATGAAAAATTAAGTTTGATTGTCAGTGGACATTCCAGTGTTCCAACTTCCACCTGTAAGCAGTCTGAAATCAGAGGAGTGGGTGCACCCCAGCATCAGTGGGTGGCCAGGTTTCCAACTGGGCTATCCTTGGTTGTCTTCAGCATTGTGCAGTCACTAAATATGGGTGGCAGAATGATGAAGGACTTTAATTTACTACGGAGAGGCATAAATGTACAAATACACCTTCTCATTTTAAATACTGCAATGCGTCAATTGACTGCAATTTAATACACCTATTAATCTTCCTCTAATTCTTTCCACCTCTACAGTCTTTCATTGATTTGGCACTATGAAAAATAACTGTTTCTTTGCTGATTCTCGTAGGATTTTATACTTTATTTAATTCAAAGCAGAGTAGTGGAATAAGTGGAATATAAGAAAAAATAATTTGGTCTATCCTTCCATAGACTTTATGCTTTAATGAAAATAGATCTGATTTGGTAAACATAGAGAAATATTTTCCACTTGAGAAGGAATCCAAATCTAGAGTTCAAAAATGTATATAATGTGAACAAACTGCTGGGATTGCTATTTCTTGATTTTTGCAATGTTCAAATATTAACATTTAGCATTAGTAGGATAAATAAATTCTACAAATCTCAGTTCTGTTCTCAAATTACAGTAAAAGTAGTACTTTAATGTTGTCTCTGAAGTACCGACTTTTTTCATGTACGAAAACGAGACAATGTTGAGGTCAACATATGAGCCACTTTTTCATCTGAGAAATTGTAAATGGAGCTGAAAACCATGGAAATATCAGTGAAAAGTCTCCACTTCTGAATAGATGATAGATGGAAAGCACATTTCCAGTTGCCAAGGAACAGCTTGTATGTGAGGAAAAGAAGCCATGATTGGATTGTTGGTGCACTTTAGAGATAAAGTTGTAAAAGTGAAAGAAGAAATATTGCAATGAGATACTGTCGGTTTAATTACATTGATGGCAGTGAAACTGAGCTAGACAACCTAGAAAAAGCACTGCAGGAAATAGCATGGTTGACCATGTCAAAGGCTTCAAAGAGTTTAAGGAGGATAAGGAGGAATATGGTTACAGTGTGAGAAGGTTCTCATTTGTACATTTCTTTAGAGGTATTTCACAATGACATGCAGAAACCAGAAATTCAAACTTGGAATTGCATAAAAGGTGAGTACATATTGGGAGGCATATCAGCTTAGGATTTTTGGACAGAAAAGGAAAACTCAATATAGAACAGATCAGATTGGTATTTTAGGACAAGGGGTTTACAGCAGTACTTTCAGACAGCTAAAAATATTGAACAAAACAAAAAAAAAACAAACTAATGAATCTGTCTTCAGTACATTTCACGTATAAAATAATATATGGCAAACAGCAGCAACAATGGCATGTTATTGGAATGATTTAAACATGAAAGATCCAAAAATAAGGGCAGCACAAGACAGAGCATTGAGGTCACAAACTAGCAGTGAGTGAAATGCTAGTGTCTTTGTGATATATGTACATTGTACCTCGAACATTTAGTTTGGGCTTGAGCCTTTAGTGGATGTAGAATAAATAAGCATCTGGTTTGAAGTACTAGTAAACAGACTGAAGATAATTACAATTCAAAGATTGGTCCATGTTCACTTAGAGAAGTTAGAGTTAGAGGTGTGAAAACAATGTACAACAGGAAGACCTCTCCTAGTTTCATAATGGAGCTGACGTGTTTGGTGAGATTGAAGTTGTATTGAATTGTACTAAAACACAGTCTGCAGCCTCATGGCCTGGCACATTCCGAATGCTATCATTGTCATCAATCCAGGGAACCCTGGTTCAATGGAGAGCACAGGAGGGCACACCAGGCATTGCAGGAAATAGCATGGTTGACCATGTCAAAGGCTTCAAAGAGTTTAAGGAGGATAAGGAGGAATATGGTTACAGTGTGAGAAGGTTCTCATTTGTGCATTTCTTTAGAGGTATTTCACAATGACATGCAGAAACCAGAAATTCAAACTTGGAATTGCACAGAAGGTGAGTACATATTGGGAGGCATATCAGCTTAGGATTTTTGGACAGAAAAGGAAAACTCAATATAGAACAGATCAGATTGGTATTTTAGGACAAGAGGTTTACAGCAGTACTTTCAGACAGCTAAAAATATTGAACAAGCACCAGGCATACCTAAAAAGAAACTGTGTCAACTGGTGAAGCTATAACACAGGACTACTTGCTTGCCAAACAGAATAAGCAGCAAATGATTCCACAATCAATTGATCAGATCTAAGCACTGCAATCCTGCCAAATTCAGTTGAGAATGGTGGTGACAGGAAGAGAAGGATCCACAATATCTCAAACCTCAATGATGGGGACACAACATATCTGTGCAACAATGTTCAGCCAAAACTGGTGAGTGGATGATCCATCTCAGCCTCCATTGGAGCTTCCCAGAATTAAAGGTGTCAATCTTCAGTCCATTCAACTCACACCATGTGATATCAAAATGGCTAAGGCACTGAATATTACAATAGCATGTACTGAATCAATATTCTGGCAATAGTGCCAAATTCATATGTTCCAGAATTTGCTGTGCTCTGAGCCAAGTTGTTCCAGTGCAGCTACAACACTCAACTCTAGCTAGGACACTCAACTCCTGACCTTATTGTAGACTTGGTTGAAATATGGACAAATGTGATGAGTTCCAGATATGTGGTGAGAGTGACTGCCCTTGACATCAAGGCCACAAATGACAGAGTGTGACTTCAAGGAGCATTAGCATCTAGTGATTTCCCACCCAATCAGGAGGCAAACTTTCCACTGACACAAAGCAAAATGGTTGGGGCTTTTGGAGGTCAGTTATTTCAACTCCAGGCCATTGCTGCAGTGGTTGAAGAAGGGAGCTCATCTCCACCATCTCAAAGATAACTAGGGATGGGTAATAAACACAGCCCAATCATCAACGTCCATGTCCCACAAAAGAATATTAAAAATTATATAAAATGTTATCTCCATTACAGACTTATATAATACATTTCCCAGATGAATGAGAGATTTGAAAACAATGAGTGAAAAAGGGAATGTTATAAACTATCCATACACTTTTCAAGTGGAAGGATCCATTTAAAGATGGAAATAATTGGTTTAAATTTTTATTTGGAACATGCCAAATATATCACACTGCTGCAGAATTACTCTTTATTTCTGTGATGGTATAGGCACCCCAAGTAACATCAAATCTCGGAGTATAACAAGAACACTGAAATGAATCGAAGTGCATTCCTAAAAACTGTGACATCCCTTGGTTTAGTCCCAGGAGAAATGAAGAGACCTCAAGGTCCTTCAAAGAATAGGCAAAATATTGAGTGGAAATAAAAGTAGAATGGAGACCATCTTGAAACTTGCAAGCTTAAAAAATAATTGTGTACATAATAAGTTACTAGTACTTGCTTTGTTTAACTACAGTAAAGATTTTAGTTTTAAATATGAATTTTGTGGTATAATTCTTTTAGTTGATAACTTGGAGTTCACATTTCATTTTAAACATCATTGGTCACTACTGAGATCATAGAACATTATCCATTTTTCACAGGTTTGCTTTAAAATGGGTACCAGTATTCATTGCATGTCTACGCCATGGTAATTATCCAAAATAAATTTGCATGATACTTCCCATGGAAGTAAATGTTTGTGGTTTGTGGCATTGGAACTAACTTATAGTAATGGGATTTGCATCAAGCAGAACACATTACTAATTATTTCTACTGACCATTGCTACATGGGTTGTGTAATGCGGTGATCCACCAGGGACTCGCTGTTCCCCTTCCCCCTCCCCTTCTTACCTCAATTATATAATCCTTTCCATCCTTTCCATGGACAGCTTTCACAGCACAGATATCCAACCCACCAAACATTTCACAGCATTTATCAACCCAAAACCTGTACCTGTCGTAGAGAAAAGAAAACATAGATTTTAGATGGCGTCCAAAGACTTTTTTTCAACTCTGCTACCTTTTCAAAACGATCACGAACATTGTTGTAACAATGAGAAAAGAACTTCTTCCACTACTTTCAAGAACTCTTTCTGCTGCGCAAAACAAAATGATTTGAAGTCCTGGTACTAAACTTTGTGTCTGTATATGGAGAGACAAAAGTCCCAATTTTAACCACTTTGTGTACATAGATAGGCAGCTGACCAACCATTGTCACCTTCTGGTGTGAGGGGCCTGGAAAATCTTAACACCTATGTCTCATTTGCAAAAGGCTTTGTTAGCCTGGTGCTTAGATCAAGTGGGAAGTTGCAGCTATTTGGTGTCTTGGAGTGGGATTTCAGGTTCAGGAGCTCACTGCCACTTATATGAAAGAATGGTTCCTGCCATTTGGATAAGTAAGTGCAAGTAAGGGCTGCCAGGAGGACGTCCTGGCTGAAGGAAGAAGAAGGAAGACTGGGGCACACAATGAAACCATATAAAACTGCATATCTTTCTGGGCTAGTCCTGGTGCATGTCCCTTTTGCCACCAGGTAGACCTGCTTGAGAAGCTAGAATGTAGCCCCGATGAGAGTCACTAATTGAAATTGCAATTGGATTCTGATTACCTAACGTGAGCCTGATCTGCATATTTAAATGAAGATCAAACTGCCTTACAGAGTGTATTGCTTTCGCCTGTTCTAAAGAGCAAGTTACGATCACTATATATGGAAAGTAGTGGTAACAGTGTGGGTAAATCACTCCGGCTATTGCTGGTTTTATTATCACAGTTGACAGGATTATGACTGGCCCTGAAAATCTTTTGACAAGGAGATGGAAAAATAATTAAGGATGAAGTGGTATTGCGTACTTGAATTACAGAACCCTGAATTTTCCATTCACAGTCATTTTTACAACAGCCTCCATTAAAAAGGTACATGCGGCTGTTCTTGAACTTGTTAACCTAAATAGGACACTGACAAGAATTAGTACTTGTTCATTAATTTTATTATGCTATCAATACAGCCAGTGACATGGAGTAGAATTTCAGATCAATAAAATTCACGCTCAAAAGAAGTCTTCAATTTCTAGTTGCTCCAGCTCTTAATACGAGCGGCATTTTGCCATTCACAGGGAACTTTTGGTCAGACTGTTCCTGAAACAAACAGGAACAGTCTGCTCTGTAAATTTTAGTTCCACACTCACTTGTGAATTTCAGTGACACTATTCCTGTAGGATGATTGAAGGTGACTTTATACTCTAAATCTGCAAACATAATTAATGAGGCTATAGGCTCAGCACATCATTGAACACCTCTGTTTGCAAATAGTTGCTAAAATGAAATTCCAATCATATTAGGATAATTATATTCTTTAAGTATAGATATGTGCAACAATGTGGCATCATGGAAATTATATGGGAGTTCTGTCTGTGGAGGGAACTGGAGTTCGTCATCCCTTTTAATTTTCTATTACTTAATATCATACTAGCTTCAGGAATAAAGAACTGGAAGGAAGAATATGAGAATCAGGAAGTGACAATAAAGCTGTCTAACTTGAGTTCCAGGATTAGTGCAGATTGGCACAAAGTGTTGTTTGATAAATGCAACTCCCTGAAAAATGCAGAACCTTATTAGAAAATGTGGCAATTGATATTATTGGAAGCATATTATACAGTCAAATTGCAAATTATTCTCAGAGATAGTAGGAACTGCAGATGCTGGAGAATCTGAGATAACAAGGTCTAGAGCTGGATGAACACAGCAGGCCAAGCAGCATCATAGGAGCAGGAAGGCTGACGTTTCGGGCCTAGACCCTTCATC